GCAAGTGGTTAATCGCCCTATTTACGACTTCCAAGTTTGATATTATCTGCTAAGGGCCTCCTTTTCAATTGTGTAGAAAACAAAAACACACAAGCGTGTGGGGCTTATGAAAGGCATATTTTCCAAGCTCCGCAAATGGTGATTTTTTAAAAATTGTTATCCAAAGGTGGATCTTCAGAATGAAATATTGGCACCCAGCTTGATTTAGAAGTTTAGCATATGTTCACACAGATTGTCAGTACTCTCACCTCTGTATCAGAAGCTGTGGTCCAATCCCATGTCAGGACTTGAACTCATAGTCTAGGCTGACATTCAGTGCAGTACTGGGAAAGCACATTTTTTGAACACACTTGAAAAAAATAGTTTGCACACTTGTCTAAAACGTGGTCTTAGTTTAAATAGTCTAATTTTCTTAACTCAAGTCAGGCATCTATACGTATGAATTAAAAATAGCATCTACATTTCCAATTGATGTTGCAACTACGACACGAGAGGTCACAAGGTAATGTCGCCTTACATCAATTTGGTTTGAAGCAACAGCAACTTACCTGATCTTTAGAGAAAAAAATTACAAAGTCTGCACAGAGTCCACAACATAAATGATGCTTAAAGTGCATTCAAACACGATAAGAAACTTTCAAGATTTAGTTCAGGTTCTGAAGTATTCCTGAAATGGTGGCACTGTTCTTGTGAGCTAAATGCTATTTTCAAGAGTGAAAGCTACAGAGTTTTTCTCTTTGGTTCTTTACATAAAATAAACGGTCATGATCTAAAGATGAGCACACAAAAGCTTGTCAAAAAAATTACCACCTTAAGTCACATTAAATAACAGTAGCAGAGAGGTTTCTGTAGCCATTACCTTGATCTCAATATTCCCAACTTTGGCAGTGGAGCGGATGATGGGTCGGCCAACCAAGGCCGGAAAGATATGTTCTGGGAAGTTGGAACCAGCATAGCCACATTTCACAAACTGCACAGAGTGGGGAGGAATGAAAAGCCATTTTAGTTTCACACAGTTGATGTAACCTGTAGTTCAGAAACAAGTAGTTCAGTAAACTATAAAAAATAATTCTCCATAATTAATAGCACGTCGTTGAGACGTCTCAAAGCGCTTTGCAGAATATGCCATAATGTAAATTTGACTGGATATTTTGTGGGCGAAATGCAGCATTTTAGTTAATTGACGATAGATAGTTATCTTCGACTGTGCCTTCAGTCACCCACCTACCCCTACCCTCCCTCCACCTCTCCTGATCTCAACCACCAGCTTGGGTGCAGATCCCTGACTGTCCAGCACTTTGGGATGTCCTCATCACGCAAAAGGCTCTATACAAATGTAATTTATTGTTGTTGTCAAGAAAAATTATTCTTACAAAATCCCGGATTTTTTAACAATTGACATACGATTACTCTGCAAAGATCAAATTCCTGTTACATACATGTGAAATGGTACGCAACTAATTAATGAAACCACTTGCATTTATATCGCAACTTTCACACAGGAAAAGGTCTCAAAATACTTCATGACAGGACTCTATGGAAAGCTGAGTGAAGTGGGTGGAAATGACCAAAGAAACTAGATTGGGTGAGTGAACATGTAAAATGTCACACATCTCAATTATCAGATAATACAACCCATCACCAAAGTCAACCATGGAACAAAATCTTATCCTCACCCAAGTTCCACACACATGCACTTTCCAGGAGAGGGTTACTGGACAGCACCAGGAGTGGGATGCCAAGCTGATTTTTATCTTCCGAAGGCTAATCGCAGATTCTCTCCCCTCCCTACACCCTTACAATGTTGCTGTCTTTACTGTACTTTAACCTCAACCTTTCTCATACAAGTAACAATGAACAATAACAGGACAATAAAAACTAAACATTTTATGCTTCATTATCACTTCCTTTGGACTACTCAAACTGCTGTATACCACTGCAAAGTAAACTATATGTAAGATTATGCATGGCTGGGATACTTAATTTTATACTTTCATATTAAAAGCTTCAGTGTAGCGTCATCACACAGATACTTCCAACCAGAAATATCTGGAGACGGACAGGATTCTTGCCCCCACCAATTCAAGCCCACCCAACACCTTCTATCTTTGCAAAAAGATTTGTTTTGAACTCCTAGAAAGGCAACAGTTGGTACATTTGAGTAGAAAGCTAAATGTTTGAAACACAAGTCAAACACCATTATTTATGGTAGAAACAATATATTCCAGAGGCAGTACAGGAAAATATACATAGAATTACACAGAATGTAAAGCACTGAAAAGACCATTCAACTTATCTCATCCTTGCTGGTGTTGAGCTCCACATGAGCCTCCACCCACCCCTTCTCCCAAATGTAGTCCCTTCTTCATGTATTCACAGAGTTTCCTCTTAAACGTATTGATATTTTCTGCTTCAACAATGGCTCTGGCAGTGTGTTACACATTCTTACCACCCTCTGTGTAAAGGAGTTCCTCCTAAACTCTTAAACCTTATATGTATGTCTCCTACGGACTTACCAACAAGTGGAAACAGTCCATTTAATTTCACATTTAATCAAATAAACATCTCTTTTGGGTCCACTCTCAATCAATTTTGCCTACACAAAGTAGGCAATACACAGTAACAACACTTCATAGTACATCTTGTGAAGCACTGAGATAACCTCCCAATGTGAAAACTGTTCTATCAAATGTAAGGAATCTAACCGGTCCACTTTTTCCTGGTAATCGTATCCTTTCACCCCTAGTAAAATCCAAGTATGACGCACCCTCTCCATTGCTACAATGCCCTTCTTGTAATATGGCGATAAGAACTATACAGTATTCCAATTTTGTTTTGCAATTTAACTCTACCTTGTGTTTGTATTCTATTCTTCTGGACAAAGTCCAGAACTATTTGCATTAATTATTATAATCATCATTATTAATAATCATATTTTTTTCAGCAGGGGGATGTTTTAAAAGGGATTCATAGCTTCACACCCTGTAGAGTGTAGTGATTTCCATGCAGGTATTTATGACCTCGTCGTCCTACTTTACAACTTTTAGGAAGTTGTTAATCTAACTTCTCAAATCTCTTTGCTCCACTAGGTTCTTTACCGTAACATCGCCCGACTCCACCACTACCTCACCCCTCAGGCTGCTGAAATTCTTGTTCATGCCTTCATCACCTCCAGGCTCGACTATGCAAACGCCCTGCTTGTTGGCATTCCCACTCCTCCCTCCACAGGCTGCAGATAACTCCGTGACCCCATCTCCCCTGACTCCATTAGCTCCTTATCCTTCAGAGGATCCAGTTCAAGATCCTGGTCCTCACATACAAAGCCCTCCATGGCCTCGCCCCACCCTACTTCTGCGACCTCCTAACCCTCTACCAACCCACCCGTTCCCTCCACTCTGCCGGCTCTGGCCTGCTCCATGTCCCCCAACCCACCCGCCCCACCATTGGCGGGAGAGCCTTCAGCCACTCTGCCCCAACCTCTTGAATTCCATCCCCCAGTCACTCCCCCTCGCCCCCTCCTTAGCCTCCTTCAAGCCCCACCTCAAGACCATCCTCTTCGACCATGCCATCGGCCACCCCCCTTCCCCTCCCTTACCCCCCCCAACCCCAGTTCGGGTCTGAAATGCTGTACTCTATCCAGCACCTTGGGACGTCCTCCCGACATGAAAAGCGCTATACAAATGTAATCTTGTTGTTGTTGTACCTCTTAGGCTTTCAGCATCTAAGGTATAAACAACTTTTTTTCATTCCTCCTATCAAAGTGAATCACTTCACATTTCTCTATACTGTAATGAACTTCATCCGCTACCTGTCCCCCGTTTGAGTTATATTCAGCCAGTTTAGTTTTCTTGCATCTTTTTGCAGTTCTCATTATTTCCCATACCCCCATTTAGTATCAATTGAGAAATTCCCCCATATCCCCATTTGGCATCAATTCACACAATATATATATATATTTTAAATAGTAAAGTCCAGGCCACTTTATTACCAATCAGCAAATACATCTTGCGCGATATTTTTAAGAACCCAGTGTCTCCACCTCCTTATATAACCTTCCTGGGTTATGCAATCACTTCACACACTTTTGGTTTGTGGCATTTGCTCATAACCACCAAGCAGTCATTCATGTCATGAAAAATCAAACCAACTTCCTATCAGTTAACACTTCATGCAACAAATAAGACCAGAATCAAGAGGGGCGGAGTAGTAATAATAATAATAATAATAATAATAACCCTTGCATTTGATATAGCACTTGATCATGTATTAGTAATTATAATAGATTATAGCCTGCAAGGATTATAATAGATATAACTATAATATGCAAGGATTATTACATTATTAATTAAAAATCCCACCCGCCCCCACACCCCTTCACACACGCAGGGCATGAAACTCTATCTGAATAAAAGCTCCCACCGCCCGCCCCCACACCGAGCTGCCAGGAGCCAGGGCCTGGTTGTTAGCTGGAAAGCAGGTGGGGCTCCTCCTGCTCTGCTCTGCTCTGCTCCGGGGCCTACCTGCCCGCTCTCCCCTCACACGCTCCTGGCTAACAGCGGAAACCGCATAGGCCGGACGCGCGTTGACCCGGGGCACCGGGTAAATGGGCACAGCGGCTCCAGTTTAAGAGGCTTCCGCCGCCTCGCATCAAAAGGAGCGCCAGGGCTTACCCCGGTGCCGTTGTCACACACCACCACCTTCTTGCCCTGACTGTCCATGGCACCGATGCCGTCGCCTCCGCCGCCGGATTTTTTTTTAACTCTCCGCTCGAGCTGCTGCTACCAACCGCCGACCGACCGACCCATCCGGCGGCTCCCGTCACGTGTTTCCGGACAACGCGAGCGACCCGTGAGGTAGGTGTGTGTGTGTGTGTGTTGGTTCAGTGACGGGACGGGCGGAGGGGGGGGAGGGGCGAGGCAAGATTGGCCAATCGCTCTGGGGAACGAGCGAGGCGGGAAACAGACGTGATTGACAGCCATGTTGACCAATCGCGCTAAAGGCGCCAGATGATCGACAGCAATGCGGACCAGTGGATTGCGGGAGGATTATCTTTGGCGGCACGATTGACGAATCAATTGCCTCGGAGGGCGTTGAGGTGATTGTCCAATCGCTCTCCGGGGTAGAAAAATAGGTGGGAACCGCGGTGATTAACAGTAAGATCGACCAATCACGGTCGGCGACTGTCCTGGTGGTGGGCGGGTCACCCCCCTCTGCCACCTCATGGCCAGTTGATGGGAGGGTTTGCAGAGTGGTGGTGGGCTCTCTGCTTGTGTAACAATAATAATAATAATAATTCTTGCATTTGATATGGCACCTTATCATATCGTTGCGAAGTCTCAAAACGCTTCACAGAAAATACTGTAATGTGGAGTGACTGCTTTTTCGGGTCGAAATCGGAAGAGGGATACGTACGACAAAATTGCATTTGTATCGCGTCTTTCACATCAGGGGCACGTCCTCAGCTGCCGGACAATCAGTGCTTTGGATCCGAGCTGGGGGTCGGGAGCGGGGTGGGTGGAGAGCAAGGACTGGCTCAGTGAGGTGGAATGTGCATCCTTGGATGGTGAAGCTGTCATTGCGTGTGTTGTGGAGTTACTGACAGGACCCAATCAGGAGAGCCTCGGTCTTGTTGATCTTTAACACTAGAAAGTTAGCTCTCATCCGGGACTTGATGTCTAACAGACATTCTGTCAGGACAGCAGTGGTCCTGGAGTCGAGGGTGGAGGCAGAGAGATAGAGTTGGGTGTTATCCACACACATGTGGAAGTTGTCCCCATGTCTGCGGATGATGTCACCAAGAGAGAGCATATAGATATTGAAGAGGTGACCAAGGACTAAGCGATCCCTGAGGAACGCCGCATGAGACGGTGCAGGGCCAGAGGAGAAGCTGTTTGTGCAGATGAATTGAAGACAGTGTGAGAGGTAGGCTCCGAACCATTCAAGGACACTTGGCTGTGGCTGGACCATCAGTTAAGCTTCTTGAAAATGATTGAATAGACAATGGAACAAGAGGACATAGATAATTATTTGGGGAGCACAAGTTTGCAGGATTATGGAGAGAGAGCAAGGGAATGGGATCGATTTGCATAGCTCTTTTCAAAGAGCAGGCACAGACATAATGGAGCAAATGGCTTCTTTCTGTGCTGTATAATACTATGAGGGCAGAACCATGAAGTTTGAGGTGAGAGTCGTGGCAGTGGAGGATAGAGAAATACAGAACACAACCAGGCCATTCGGCATAACTCGTCCCATGTTGATGTGGTTGGATCATCAGTTAAGATTCTTGAAAATGTAACGGGAAATTTCAGGACAGACACCTGGAAATTCTTGAGATCAGATGGGCAGAAAGGCTTTCTTCATAGACCAATCTTGTGATCTTATCTTATGATTTTTCCTCACCCCCAATCCCCAGGAAGTTTGTCCTCACTCAGAGGGTAATCAACAGTGGAACAGGGTTGCGAGGAAGAGTGGTTGAGGCCACTCTAGGACTTATTTTAAAAAACAGTTGATTCAGTGATGGGTATTCTGGAAGGATGAGATCGGATGGGTTTTCATCATACAGACCAATGTTGTGATCTTATCTTATGATTTTCCCCACCCACAATCCTTAAATTGATTGGATGAATCAATCTCTCAACCTCTCCTTCCACATCCACTCTGCTACCCACACCCACGGTCACTTGCTCGACCTGGTGATCACCCGGAGTCTCAGCATGTCGGATGTCACCATCACTGACAAGGCCACCTGTGACCACCATTTCATCTCCCTCAACTCCCATATCCCTCTCCCCACTGCCTCCAAATCTACCACCATCTTCTACCGCCCATGGAAGAAGATCTCCCCGCAAACCCTCTCTGCTCCCCTGGAGTCCTCCGAACTCCTGCCCCTCTGGCCCATCTCTCGCACCAACCCACTCGCTGCGCTTACTCTTCTCCACCGCACTCTACGCCCTTGCCACCCTCACCTCCCGAACTGCCTCCTATTCCCGATCTTCACCCTGGTTCACCAGCCACCTCCGCTTGCTTAAGGGCCAGGTGCGGTCTGCGGAACACACTTGGCTCAAATTCGGCTTGACGGTCCACCGCCACATCTGGCTGGACCTCATCAAGAACTACTGCTCTGCTCTCGCCTCATCCAAATCATCCTTCTATTCCAAGTTAATCCTGGAGGTGAAGGGCAACCCCAGGCGCCTATTCTCCACCACCAACTGGCTCCTCTGCCCTCCCCGCCACACCTTGCAGTTTCTTTCCTCTGACTCTCACTGCGAGAAAATGCTGGACTTCCTCGAGTCCAAAATCGAGGGAATCCGCTCAGCTGCCACTGCCCTCCCAACTTCCACCCCCTCACTATCCCACTCCACACAATTAGCCATCCGACAATTACCCATTCCTCCTTCCACACCTTTGAACCTGTCACACCCTCCTCTGACTTCACCACCGTAACCTCCATGAAGCCCACCACCTGCTCCCTGGACCCCATCCCCATCCCTCGCCTTAAATCCCAGCTCCACCTCCTTGCAACACTATTCACCGACATCATTAACCTCTCCATGTCATCTGGCACTGTTCCTTCCCCCCTCATAAACAGCCTTTATCACCCCCACCTTGAAAAAACCTTCCCTTGACCCATCACAGCTATCTAGCTACCGGCCCATCTCAAATCTCGCTTTCCTATCCAAGGTCCTTGAGAGAGCCATTGCCTCCCAGCTTCGCTCTTTCCTCTCCTCTCACTCCCTCCATGAACCCCTCCAATCGGGTTTCTGGAAGCTGCACGGAAACTGCTCTGGTCAAGATCACAAACGACATCCTGACCATGTGTGACCAGAGGCTCCCTCTGCCTTCGCGTCCTCCTTGACCTCTCCATCGCCTTTGACACTGTGGACCACTCAATCCTCCTCCACAGCCTCTCCTCCCACCTCAACCTTCAAGGTTCTGTCCTTGACTGGTTCAGGTCCTACCTTTCACACCGCCTCCACTTTGTTGCGGCAAACGGCTTCTCTTCCAGCCCCCGCACTGTCTCGTGCGGTGTTCCTCAGGGCTCTATTCTCGGTCCCCTCCTCTTCACCCTCTACATGCTCCCCCTTGGTGACATTATCCGTAAACATGGGGTAAATTTCCATATATATGCGGATGACACCCAACTCTACCTCTCTGCCTCCACCCTGAACTCCAGGACTACTGGCATCCTGGCCGACTGCCTGTCCAACATCAAGTCCTGGATGAGGGACAACTTGCTCCAGCAAGCCCATCCTGATCGGCTCGTGCCTCCACATCTGAGGCGCTGGCAGCATCAGCCTCCACGACTACACACTCAACCTCACTAAGCCAGTCAGGAACCTCGGTATCTTGTTTGACCCTGAACTGTCCTTTCTCCCCCACATCCGCGCCATGACCGGCACTGCCTACCACCACCTCCACAACATTGTCAGACTCCGCCACTATCTCACCCCTCAGACTGCCGAAACCCTCACCCACGCATTCGTCACATCAAGGCTCGATTACGAGAACTCCTCATCGGCCTTCCCGACTCTTCCCTTCACAAGCTGCAGGTCATCCAAAACTCTGCAGCTCGTGTACTCTCACTCACCAGGCTCACTCCCACCCTCACCCGACTCCACTGACTTCCCATCCCCCAGAGGATTGAGTTCAAAATCCTTGTTCTCACCTTTAAGGCCATCCATGGCCTTGCCCCCATCTACCTCTCTGACCTGCTGACTCTCTACCAACCTGCCGGCTCTCTGTTCATCGGGCTCCGGTCTGCTCCATATCTCTCGTCTGACCCGCCCTACCATCGGTGGCCGGGCTTTCAGCCTCTCTACCCCCACACTCTGGAACTCCATCCCACAGTCCCTTCGCCTCGCTTCCTCCCTTGCCTCCTTCGAGGCCGTTCTCAAGATCCTTCTCTTCGACCGCAATACGCTGTGATCTACAATGTATTTGAGTGTAAGCATTAATTATATCTGCCTATGATGAGCCAGGCAGCCTGGTCAGTCCTGAGGTTCCCTGCAGCAGGACGGAGCTGCCGCCATCTCAACAAGTGACTCCGTTCTGCTCTATCCTGGGACGTTTGGTGCCACCGTGAAGTCAGAAGCTGCGGAGACATCCCCTTCACCTCCACCCACCGAATGTATAGCAAGTCACATCTTAGCCATCACACTGGGGGAAAGTGCAATCGCAGGGCAGCTCCTTTATCAAGATGGCGACGAATCCATTACCAAGATGGCGGCCAGCGGCGCCTCTCAGCCACGGGCTCCAGCACTGATGTGGGTCCGCGCTGAGCTCAGGGTATCCCGGTCTCTACCGGCCGAGTTGCACCCGCTGCACGTTCTCGTGCCCGCCTCGGCCTTCTCAGGACAGGCCGCAGCTTCCGGGCCCGGTGGCGGCTGCGTCCTGTCCCTGCACCGCCGCCCGGCCTCGGCTTCACCCTCGGGCCGTGGTTTCTTCGTCTCGGCCTCGTTCGCACCAGAGGACGAGCCGGAGGAAGCGGGGCCCGGGGAGCAGGAGCCGCTCCAGATCCGCACCAGCGAGCTCTTCCTGCGGCACTACGGCCTGCGTGGGGCGGCCGCGGCTTGTGGGGAGGAGCGGCTGCCCGGGAGCGAGGCGGCGGTGCCGGTGTGGGCCCGCCTGGTGCAGCCGGTGCCTCCTCTGAGCCGGGCGGTGCTGGCCGCCCGCACCCGCGCCGCCTGGCGATGCCTCAGCTCCCAGGCCTTCAGCCGCCGCCTCCTGCTGCTGAGCTGCCAGCGCCGGCCCCTGCTGCTCCGCCAGGGGGACGCGCTGGCCCTGCCCCGGGACTCGGGCTGGACGCCAGGCGAGGCCGGGGATGA